CTACTTATCTTTTTGAAGAAGGTTGGGCCCAGTAATATTATTTTCTCAACTTTACAAATCAGTAATAATGTCAAGAGGTAAATATGTGTAGGGGAAATAACATACCAAGATCAAACAGTTTGTTGATACCTTGGACTATCGCCTATAGTACTTTATAGTAATCTTAACTTTTTCCTTTGATAGTTTCGTTCTAAAATGGGGAGTAGGATTGGGAGTTGAATTTCCTAACGGCTGAAGAGAACGTTGAATATAATCTATTTCAACACTACTAGTTTTGCCAATGAGATATGAAATGATCTGTTGAAGGACACACTGCTCAAGTGGCTAAGCTGGAGCATAACTCAGGATTTTTGTTTCTAAATACTGTGCTTTGTCTACAACACCATAGTACTGCTTATGATCAGAATAATTATTGAACTAAATCCAACAGGGTTTGGGATATTCAACAGGTAAAATGACCCAATTTTTCAACAAATAAATGACATTAAAAAAAGGGGGGTGGAGGAAAAATCTTTATAGATTAAAAGAAACATAATATCCATATCAACAAAATGCTAAACTGTAGACTTTTAAAATCTTGATTAGAATAAACCAAACATAAAATTACATTCTTAAGGCAATCAAGGGAGATTGAATACAGAGTGGGGATTCTAGGATAGTAAGAAACTACTGTTAATTTTGTAACATGTGATAGTGGTAGTGTGGTGATACTAAAAAGAAGTCCTTATCTGTTAGAGCTATACACTAAAGTATTTATCAGTGAAATATTCTATCTGGTTATTTGCTTTAGAACACCCCAGGAAACAAACAAATGAAAAAGTACAAAGATAGATTGCTAAATGTTAACAGTATTGATAATCATCAAGGGTGGGGGTTATTTCTACTACTTTACTTTGGTACATGTTTGACATTTTTCATAATAAAAATTAAAAAGTAAGTAATTATTGAACTCATAATACATAAAAGACATCACCAACACAGTTCATTAATCACTAAATACCCAATTTTTCTTATTTTAATCGGGAGAACAATAACAGAAACACCTTAGCATGAATCTATAAGGTCCTACATGTACTGGCTTATGCCTATTTCCAACCTCACTAATGACTACTGCACCAAGATGGAAAATTATGCTTTGTATTTAATATGCATTTTCATAAAACTGCTATTAAGTTTGACTTCTTATTTTATTTTATATATTTTTTTAAATTAAACGTTTTTAAATAATCTCTATGCCCAGTGTGGGGCTCGAACTCATACCCTGTGATCAAGAGTCACATGCTCTTCTGACTTAGCCAGGTTCCCCAACTTCTTTTTAAAAATGTTCTTCCCTGTAATCTTATTCCTTGATTCTTTAGTAACCATGTTGTTTATTTCAATTCAACCCGTATTTATGGAATGATGCACGAGTTTCTGTTAGGCCCAGGAACAGCAGACAGGGTATGTGATTTTTATATCTATGAAATATTCACTTATATATAAGTATATATGAAAAATATATGACATATATAACAGAACTGATAGATGCTATATTAGCTGTATGAAAAAAGTCCTATGGGGACCCTGAAGAGAAACATGTAATCAAAAACTTGATCAATAATGTTAGAGGAAGGACAGAATTATCTTTCTATACTTATATAAAGAATATTACAAAATATGAGGAGGCAATCAAAGAATGTGCAGCCAAAACTATAGAAAACAAGTATTATAAAGGTTTGTGGGATATTAATTTATAAAAATATGTTATTTTCCTGGATTTAAGGATGTTTGTGTTATTTGTCAGCTTCAAAAAATTTGTAGTTATGTTCTCTATTTTCAAATAAACATTCACTTTCATACCTAATTTTCTATTTGTTTTTCCTTAATCAGCTCCCCCTCATTATATAAACTTCAGGTGCCACACAACCTGAATCCACGTGGGTGCCTATAATTTGGTAGACACTGTTCTGGGAGCTAAGGGTCTGTCAGTGAACAAAACAGAGAGAAAGCCCCTCTCTCTTATGAAGCTTACATTCTAATTGGGAGAGACAGACGAAACAAAAACATAATAAACAAGGAAATTCAATAGTACGTTAGAAAGTAAGTGCCATGGAAAACAGTTGCGAAGGGTTAGGAGTATGGAGAGTGCAGGGCAAGGAGTGCGGGTGAGCTGGAACTGCAATGTTAAATAAGGTAGTCGGAGTAGGGAAGTCTCATGGAGAAGGTGACTCCGAGCAGACTTGAAGAAACTGGTTATTGAGAATACCAGTGGAATCTAGTGTAGCATATTAGTTTAGTGGTACTCCATTATTCTCTTATTCAGGTCCTGCCTTAGAGTATTTGAAATAAAATAACCCCAAGGACCCAACACCGGTGGGGAAAGCAGTAACAGCTGGATCAGGGTTAAGAACTGAATGGTCGTCTAGGACACTGCTCATAGAGATTGGTACTAAAGAACATAGGGACACTACAACATCACAGAAAAATAAAAAGGGGGAATATGATATTTACCAAAACATCTCTGGTAGCTGGGGTGAGAACCCCAAGGGGCATAGCACCGAAGGAGATCTGGCCTGATGAACTATCAGGTTTGTACTGCTGAGTAGGGTGAAGCAATAGGGAATCACATCTGAAATGTGTGGGCGACCGCTTTGCTGTCACTGGCAGTGACAATGGTGCTTTCCCACCCTTCCCACCCCGTAGCATTCAATCATGCCACCACACAGAAATCAGGAAGACAGCTAAATATGTAAGCTTAAAGTATACGTTGTCAGCCTGCCCTTGAAATAATAACTATGGGAATGAGACTATAACTGTGAATATTTTAAATGTTCTTAGAGCATCACGTTTGTTTGTTTTTCTTTGGCAGCTGTGGTATAGTAGAAAGACAAAAGGACAAGTCAGAACTGGAAATGAGTTCTGAGTCTGCCACTTAGCTGATGAGCCTTGGGCAAACCAGAAAGTGAAAAACTAAATTTTATCATCTATAAAATGGGGGCAGTAATAAGTTTCTTTTGTGGCAATCAAATGAGGTAATTGTGTTTAAATGAACTTTTTAAAAAAATATTTTATTTATTTGAGATTGAGAGAGAGAGAAAGAGAGCGAGAGCGAGCAGGAGCAGGGGTAAGGGCAGTGGGAGAAGGAGAAGCAGACTCCCCACTGAGCGGGGAGCCCGATGCAGGATTCTGTCCCAGGACCCTGAGATCATGACCTAAGCCCAAGGCAGCCGTTTAACCGACAGAGCCACCCAGGTGCCCTAAATGAACTTTTTAATCAACAAAGTATCATATTCTTTTCAGCATAATAATAAAGGTACAAGGTTGTTCACAGTTGCTAGGTAAGGATTACAGTTATGATGTAATAACAAGTTGTAATAATCAGCGAATAGTTAAGACAGCATGTCAAAGGCTTTAAAAATCTCTATAATCTGCCTTCACTCAATTCAATAAAACAATTGAACAGACTTTTCAATGTTTTTTAATGGTATATTAGAACAAGAAACAGACAAACATATTTCAAAAGCAAAAATAGGTATTTTGTTTTCTTACTCACTTGAATGGATGCTGAAGGAGTGACCCTTAACCAAATGAAGGTACAGCATCAAAAATAACTGGCTATTTTCTCCAAATTGCCAGCTAAGTAGAGTGATTCTTAAATGATACTTCTTGTCAGCAAGAAAGATGATCCCAAGAATGAACAAAAATAGCCCTGTTCAACAGCTGTGATATTTATAATTTATAAACTGATCATCTCTCATCAGATTGTCTTGGTGTCTAAACAAGAATGGATGTATGTTTGCCATTTGTATATTTATCACTCTTCAGAAAACAAACTTTTATTATATCTTACTCTTTCTGATCAATGCATTTCTCTCTTCACATATAAACAGTATGATAAGAAGCTTCTTGTTTGAGGAACATGACCTTGGAACTCCAGTGTCATGTACAATGTTAAAAATGTTCAACTAATCCTTAAACATTTATTTCCAATCAGCAAATACCTTTTAAGCACTGAAAGGCAAAACACTGAAGACTAGGATAACTTGGAAGGAAGAAAGGGAAGTAGGGTGGGAGCGATAATCAATTCATTACTAAATTCTTGTCAGTCTCTAATACTCTGCCTGGGTGTCATGCTTCTAGTTTCCTCTTACGGTTCTTCCCCCACGTCTATTTTTCTTTAATTCGTGCCCTTCCATTGCCCTTGCTCTTCACCAATCTCTTTGTGCCCTATGTATTTTATTTGCTTTGCTCACTACATTGATTCCCTCTTCATTTCTTTCACTACTTCCCTCTTGTGCAGCCCTACGACAAGGTATTTCTACACTTTATACAAGCATGCGCTAAATTACAATTGAGCAAATTTCGTGACTCTCTTTCTTGGAGAACTTTGCGCAAATTAGAACTGAGAGCTCTGGAGGAGGGGGCTCTTGCATCCACAAGACAAGAGAACTGAGAATTACAAAATACGTGGAGGAGAACTGAGAGAGCACAGAACTGTGTCCTCCATGTGCCACGACCTGCATCAGAAACACCTCGCCCGTGACTCAAGAAACTTCCTGCAGCGCTCCGCGGACTGACCTTCGTTCGAGGCCCTTCCCCACCGCCGCCTCCCCCTGACTTCCCCTACACCCACATTTTCGTCTTCACGTCCCTCCCTCCCCACACTTCAGGCCCATTTCTCTTCAAATTCGACTCCCACCTTGCACGCCGAGATCTGGCCCCTCTCCGCTCCCATGTTCGCTCCCCTCGGTTTCTGTCACAGACCCCCCCCCCCCCCACCCCCCCCCCCCCACCCCCCCCCCCCCCGGCGGGGCGCCCCCCTCGCCCCCCCCCCCCCCCCCCCCCCCCGGCGTTTCGGCCCCCCCCCCCCCCCCCCCCCCCCCCCGCCCTCCGCGGGCCCGCTGCACTGTGGGTAGGCGGCGGCCGCACTGAGGAGCCCGCGGCGGCGGCGGCGGCGGCGGCGGCGGCGGCCGCACTCGCACTGAGGAGCCGGCGGCGGAGCTAGGCTGCGCGCGCCGAAGATGGCTGAGAAGCAGAAGCACGACGGGCGGGTGAAGATCGGACACTACGTGTTGGGCGACACGCTGGGCGTCGGCACCTTCGGCAAAGTGAAGAGTTGAGTATGCGCCCGAGGCCAATACGCGGGGCTGTCCGCTCGCAGGAGGCCGGGCCGAGCGGCTGGAGCCGGGCGCCCAGGGCCGCGGGGCGGGCGCGGGCCTGGCGGCAGGTGGAGCGGGCCCAGGAGCCCCGCGAGGGGGGCGGGGGGCGGCGGCGGGGACGACGGGAGTCCCGGGGTCTGTCGGGCGCTCGCGGACCTCAGTGCCCGGGTCGGTGAAACCGGAGGTCGGACTGTTGGGCAGGGTGCCTTCCAGCTGAGACGGTGTGGGCAGCCGCGGGGAGTAATACCTGGTGCTGGTGATTGAGTTCCCAGCGCGCCAGGTGCCCTGCTGGGTGCTTTACTTGTGATCTCATTTAATCCTTACAGCGACTCGGGGCAGGTGTTGTCCTCACCTTGAAGGTGAGAAAACGCGGACCCCTAGAGGTTTGGGAACGTGCCCAAGGTCACACAGAAATTGGCAGAACCACGATGAAGTGTAAAATGTCTTCCAGTTCTGGCTAGGCCGGGGAGGTCCCTGCCATCTGACTCCTTCGTGCGCCAGGACTCGGGCGGGGTCGGTGGGGTCTACGCCGTGGGGCGGGGTCCGGGGGCCTGGAGGTGGGGGCGTGAACGCAGAAGGCCGCTGCATGGGCTCAGGGCTTAATTAGAGCTGGAGGTCCGAGGGGTGCTTGCCCGGTGGAAAGAAGCCTGGGAAGGCTTCTGGGGTGGGGGGAGGTTCCTTGGTGTTGGACCTTGGAGCGTGCGGGGCTGAGGAGGCCAGAACTGCTAAGACGGACTCTGCGGAGGTCTCTTTTCTTGGTGACAGGAATCCCATTTTGGGTGTAGAAAAACAGGCTGTTTTTGAAATAGTTTTAACTTGTTACTAGTTAAGTATTGAACTTTCCTCCTTTTGCGGTTAATAACAGTCACATGGGATTTAATTAATCTGCCCTCTCTCCTGAACTAGAGCCAGCTTATTAATATTTTACGGTTGATTGTTATAAATTCAGAATTGTAAGTCAAACGTTAGCTTTTCTCTTTTTGCTGTAAAAATGTTGGGTAGGCAGTCTGGAGATTGTATCTCAGGCCTCTATTTCCTTGTAAAATACGTATTTTAACCTCAAGTCATGGGTGTTAAATAGGTAGAAGGAACTCATTCATTCCTGTGGCAAAGATCAGCTCCTATCTACTTCCACGTATCTGAAGCTCTTCTCTTGGGAAAACCCTTCCTGAGCACCTGCACTGTGCTAGACACTGTTCTCGGCAATGGGGATACAATAAGGAGCATAAACCACATTCAGATCTCTCCTGTGGAGCGTATATTCCAGTAGGGGAACACAAAAAATAATCAGAATATATACGTAAAATACATAATATGTTTAGTGCTACTGAGAAAAATGAATCAGGGAAGGGAGAATGAGTTTTGTGAGGTTAACAGTTTTCAATAAGGTGATCCGGCAAGGTCTCACAGGCAAGGTGGTATTTGTGTAAAGACCTGAAAAGTTTATAAAAATCTTTGAAGTCCTATGTGGGCCATAAAGTCCTGGGGTATTTATGAAAGACTGTATAAGTAGAGTGGATAGCTAAGAGAATATATTTAGAATGAATATAGGAAGATCCAGGCATTAGGTTAATGCCTGAAAGGTTACCTGTCATTAAATATCATTACTGAGGACTGCTGTGTTACGATATTATTCAGTTACTCAAGCAAACTGTGCCTTTGCCATCTGGGTATGTACACTCTCAAAATTACATAACTTACCCTACATCCTTTCAAACTGTGTTAAAATGTTTGTCTTTTTTAATTCTTCTGTACTCTGAATGTAGACTAAAACACCCATCAGATCAGTTGGCCCATTGTCAAGGACAACCTAAATCTCTTTTTGTATATGTTCTTGTGCTGCTTCCAGCCACTGGCTTCTTAAATATAAACCAATGGAAGGTACGTTGGTTTATGAGAAATCCTTTTACTGGAGCACCCAGTCTAATGGGCATCCAATCAGAGGCGTGTTTTTAACACTACGTTAGAGCCTCTCTAATGTTATGCTGTGATTTCCTATCCAGGATTAGAGTTAGTACCATTGTTCAATAAAAATGATGGAAGTTGCTGCAGTTCAGTTATTTAATTCTTCAGGGGACAAGAAATAAAAGTACATGTATTTTTAAAAGTAAAAATACGCCTTTTTTTGTGGTATATTGTACATATCATTCACCCATTCCAAGTGTACAATACAGTGATTTTTTTTTTTTTGTAACTTTACTGAATGATGCAACCGTCATCATAGGTGCAACCAACATCAATTTAAAAAAAAAATTTATCGCCACAGTAAGGTCCTTCATGCTCATTTACAGTTCATCTTTGTTCCCACCACCAACTTCAGGAAACCCTGAATCTGTTTTCTGTGTGTATAAACTTGTTTTCTCTGGATACTTCTGATAAATGGGATCATTCAATATGGAGTCTTTCATATTTCCTTTAACAATGTTTTTAGGTTTATGGATGAGATAGCATGTGTCAATAGTTTATTCCTTTTTATTGCTAATAATATTCCATTGCGTGGATATGCCACCTTCGTCTATACATTCACAAGTTGTTTTTGGTTTGGGACTGTTAAAAATAATGCTACTACAAGTATTTTCATGCAAGACTTTGGGCACATGTTTTCATGTATCTTGGTTAGGCACTGAGGAGAAGAATTGCTGGGTCCTATCGTAGTTTCATGTTTAGCTTTTTGAGAAACTGCAAACTATTTTCAAAAGTGGTTGTACCATTTTGCAATCCTACCAACAGTGGATGAGGGTTCTCCCTTTCTCCGCATCCTCACCAGCATTTGTTGTAGGCTGTTTTAAAGGCATTCCAGTGGTGTGAAATGATGTCCCATTGTGGCTTTAATTTGCATTTCTTTAATGAGTAATGATATTGAACATCTTTAGGTACTTATTAGTCATTCATATATCTTATTGGGTGAGATGTCTGTTCATATCTTTTGCTTATTTCATGAGCTGAATTATAAGAATTCTTTGTAAATTCTGGATTTGAGTCCCTTATTAGATGAAGTTTGTAAATATTTTCTCCCAGTCTTTTTCATTTTCTTCATGTGTCTTTTGAAGTCTAAAAGTTATGAATTTTCATGAGGTCCAATTTATTGACCTTTTTTTTCTTTTTATGGACCTTGCTTTTGGTGTTATAGCCCCGAAATCTTTGCTTTAGATTTCAAGGATTTTCTCTCATGTTGTCTTCTAAATATCTTCTAAATTTTATTGTTTTAGCCCTTACATTTAAGTATATGACCCATTTTGAGTTAAGTTTTGAGTATGGTATAAGATGAGGTTTTAAGATCAGCTTTTTGAATGAATATCCAATTGTCCCAGCACAGTTGAAATGTATATGTTGAAAACACATGCAGTTTTAACTGTTACATAATTTAGACTTTGTAAAGTTAATTTTTACTAAAAAACTTAATAATAGATGATTTAGTTATATATATATGTATCTTAAGATTTTATTTATTTATTTGTCAGAGAGAGAGACACAAGCCCGGGGGGTGGGGGGAGCAGCAACAGAGGGAGAAAGCATGCTCCCCTCTGAGCAAGGAGCCTAATGTGTGGGACTCTATCCCTGAGATCATGACCTGAGCCGAAGGCAGACACTTAACCAACTGAGCCACCCAGGCATCCCATAGATGATTTAGTGTTTTTTTTTTTTTTAAGACTTTATTTATTTGACAGAGAGAGACACAGCGAGAGAGGGAACACAAGCAGAGGGAGTGGGAGAGGGAGAAGCAGGCTTCCCACTGAGCAGGGAGCCTGATGTGGGGCTGGATCCCAGGACCCTGGGATCATGACCTGAGCGGAAGGCAGATGCTTAACAACTGAGCCACTCAGGCGCCCCGATGATTTAGTTTTATATGGCTCTAAAAACATGGAGATGGAGGAATGAATAGCATTTTTTGCCTTTTCTCTTAACTGTTAGGCTAGTTGTAGATTTTGAAAAATTTAACTGCCCTTGTTGATGTACCAATTTATAGACTGAAGTTAGGTACAATAAGTGAAAATTCAGAGTGGCATAATTTTCATTTGATTGCACTCATTTCAAGGTATTTTTATTTTTATTTTTAAAGATTTTATTTGACACACACACACAGAGAACAAACTGGGGATAGTAGCAGAGGGAGTGGGGGAAGCAGGCTCCCCACTGAGCAAAGAGCTGGATGCCAGGGCTTCATCCAAGGACCCCAGGATCATGACCTGAGCCAGAGGCAGATGCTTAACCGACTGAGCCACCCAGGCACCCCTCGTTATTTTTAAAAAAGTATGTAGAAATCCTCTATTTGCTGTTAAATAATGAAAGGCTTATTTTAAATGTTCTAAACTGATTTTCTTCATTCTGTTGTTTTGCTAGATTACCAGTGGAGTGCTATCAAAACAAATTATGGGGGCTGACAGAATTTAAAAGTAATGTTTTTTCTCTACTTAAATTTTTTCCGCACGTTGATTTAGTTCATACTCTTTTCAGGGTGGGGTAGAACTGCTGTTTAAGAGCTCTTGTAATTAGACTTGTTCAATTCTTACCTAATTAGTAAAGGTGATAGAAATGATAGAAGAATAGATTTGTTGCTTGTGTTATACAAAGACTGGTTCAAGAAAAATATACATAATATACTGCTAATTACTTATTTAAAAAGAAGCCTGCTTTTTCAAGGTGAGTACTGATAGATTTGCTTTATGAAATATTTATTCATCAGAATTGTACACCAAGGGGTACTTTGTAATCACACTAGCCTCTTTCTAGCCAGCAGAGTCTCACCAAGGAATTACCTTCTCTGTTTTTCAAATAGTTACTTGGATGACCCACAGAATTGGCTTTCAAGAAATTAAGTATATTACTCATTCCTCACTTATTTTTGAGATAACAGGAAAGATAAACAGATGGACTTTTTATTACATTTTTTTTTTTAAACAAGGAGTGTTAACCTTCTTTGAAATACCAAGTTCCAAATGATAAATTGAATTTTGG